TCCATTGATTGAGAGTACTCCACACTCAATTTTCCTACTATTATTTTGTTTCTGTCTATTTCTGCTTTCAGATCTGTTAATATTTCCTTTATTTATTTAGTTATTCCAATGTTGGTTACATATATATATATATATTTCTAATTATTATATCTTCCTGGTGAATTGCCCTTTTATCATTGTAACAAGTTACTTTTTGTCTCTTGTGACAGTTTTTGTCTTAAAGTCTATTTTTTGTGACAAAAGTAGTGCGACCCCTGCTTTATTTTGGTTACCATTTCCCTGCAGTATCTCTTTCTATCACTTCTCTTTGAGCCTATGCATGTCCTTAAATCTTAAGTGAGTCTCTTGTACAGTTGAATATTTCTTTTTAAATCCATTTAGCCACTCTATGTTTTTTTTTAAATTGGGGAGTATAATCTATTTACATTTAAAATAATTATTAATAAGTAGACTTACTATTGTCATTTTAATTGTTTTCTATCTGTCTTATAGGTTGTCCGTCTTTTCCTTTCTCTCTGCCTTCCTTTGTATCATTTTTGTATTGATAGGCTTTGATTTTCTCTCTCTTTTTTTCCCCCCCAGAACTTCTGTCCTGGCCTATATCTTGATCTCCTTCTTTTATCTGGGTTTTTCTTTCCCTCTTAGAATGGCACTATGTCTGTGCCTCAAATTACTTCCCATCTCATTATTCTGCAGTTGGTTTGAAATTTTCTATTAAAATTTGAATGTGCAGACCATCTGTTGTGATTAGTCAGCTATCATCAACTCTTTCTTTTGTACCAGGTACTTTTCTTCCTATTAGCTAAGGCACAAATCCACCCAATAAAAGCTAGTTTAGAGGTAAAGTGGTATATAGGATGTCTTTGACCAAAAAAAAAAAGTGCTCCACAAATTGTTTTCTGCTTGGGAAATGATGTGCAAGATTTCTCTGGCTATACCTGGAAGAATTTTATGTCCCTCTATGGCTTTAGACAGAGAAAATAACTTATTCTGGGAAGAGACCTTATTACAATGTAAATGGTGCCTCCTGGAACTGTGTAACACAGAAGCATTAATTTTGGAATGAATCCTGCCTTAATGACTGTCTCTCATTCCTTAAGACCCATTCATTTTTGGTTGATCTTTCTCTCTTACAATAATAAATCTACTTTGACTACAGTTGTTGGGATTAAAAATATACATTTTCAACAAAATACTTAGCTGTTGCCTTTTTGTTTAAATGTTTTAATTACTTGGACTTTGGTTATATAATCTATATCTGAAAGTTTACAGAGAATTGTTTCACTGAACACATAAATTCAGAGATTTTCCATACATTGTGCCATTTTTACGTTGATTAACAATGTGCTATTTATTCATTCATTCATTAATTTATTCATTCATTATGTGTTATTTATTTATTGGAAGTCAATGGTTAAATTCATAGGTTTCTTTGATCAATAATTTGTAAATGCAAAGAAGTTTCTAATTGGAAGAAACTTTAGTCATCATTTAATCAAATATTGATATTTTATGAAACAGAAACCATTAAAGAAAGATTCCAGAAATCAAGAGGATCAAAATGTACTTAAACTCATATATTTTGACATCAAGACCATTATCCTTCTTATTTGTCGCACTTGTTCTTAAAATATGTATAGATTTTGTTTTTATCTACTCTATTCATGTGAATCATTACCCAGGATTACTCTTTGGGTCCAGAGCTTCCTCATGGCATTTTTCACCTCTGAGTTTCTGAGAGTGTAGATGAAAGGGTTTAACATGGGTGTTACCATAGTATAAAATACAGCGACTGCTTTATCAATGGGGAAGGTGATCATGGGCCGAAGGTACACAAATATACAGGGAATAAAGAACAGGACAACTACAGTAACATGGGATGCACAGGTGGAGAGAGCCTTCCACTGTCCTTCAGTGTTGTGAGTTCGTAGGGAGAAAAGGATAAAGACATAGGAGGTGATAAGAATAGAAAAAATGAGCATACACATTAGTCCACTGTTGGCGGCAACCAAAAGTCCAAAGATGTGAGTATCAGAGCAGGAGAGTTTTAGCAGAGGGAAAAGGTCACAGATGAAATGGTCAATGACATTGGGGCCACAGAAGGGCAACCAGACTATAAAAAGAATTTGAATCAGAGCATGAAGAAATCCCCCGGCCCAGGCCATGGCCACCAGGAGGCCACACACTCGCCTGTTCATTGTGATCATGTACTGCAGGGGCTTGAAGATGGCCACGTAGCGGTCATAGGCCATCACCGTGAGCAGGATGATCTCGACTCCCCCAAAGAAATGTTCAGCAAAGAGCTGGGTCATGCAGCCACTGAAGGAGATAGTTTTTTTTTCAGCAAGTAAGTCAAATATCATTTTGGGGGCCATAGTAGAAGAGCAGCAGCCGTCTATGAAAGACAAGAAAGAAAGAAAAAAATACATGGGGGAGCCCAGGGCTTGGCTGGTGGTGATCGTCACTATAATGAGTAGGTTGCCTGTCACAGTGAGAAAGTAGATGACTGTAAACACAGCAAACAAGAGTTTCTGCACATCTGGGTTCTGTGTCAGGCCAAGCAGGATGAATTCTGTCACGTTGGTCATTTGCTCCATGAATCCACTTTGGCATTTGGATAATTGATTTATCTGTGAATAGGACATGGATTGAAATTGTGGCAGATAAATTTTGATCAAGTACATAATTTCTATCAGGATTGTTTTCTGTAAGACAGTGGAAACCTCAAGCAGATAAACCCAAGACTTAAAGTTGGGCCATATAATTAGTCACATAATGAACATATAGCCTGTCTCTCTCTCTCTCCCTCTCTCTCCCTCTCTCTCTCTCTCTCTCTCTCTCTCTCTCTCTCTCACACACACACACACACACACACGCACTTTTTCTCATTCATACCTGTAAACACGTTTTTATGACTGTTGTCATTCCAGACACCTTTCCTATAATTGTACATGGATGGATAGTCTCCCAACAATTGCTATAGTATTTTTGCCTCATAGAAAAACAGGAAGAAAGAAAGGAGCTGTAAGAGGAGCTGAGGCTTGAATTCATGAGGGGCTATTCCCACACATCTTTTCTCTAGTCACTTGTGCTGATGAAGCTAAGCTTCACAGTTCATTATTTTTGTTATTTTAAATTTGTTTCAGGTGAATATAAAACATCAGGTGATTTCAACTTAAAATTAGGAATGATGTAGTCATATTCCAGAAAAACTGAACTAAGTGAATGTTTGAGGTTCTGGTGAGATATACCTGGCAGTCAGGTTGTAAGCTTATGCTACATTTAAACAGAATTGTCTAAGGATGTCATCAAACAAGAAGGAAGAAGAATATCCTGAAGAGGATAAAGCAGACAGCATGATGAAATGTAAAATTCCCCAGATTTATTTGAAACTTTAGAATTCATTATTTGGAGAACTTCTGTCATGTTTGGGTTTCAGGGTCATTTTACAAATCTAAACTCAATTTAAGGAAGACCATGAAAAATCCTCTGGATCTACAAAACAGATACATTTAAGATGAGAAGGAAACAAAAGCATCATAATTTGTTGGACAGAGTATGTTCTCTGTAGTGAGATAGACTTTTTTTTTTCATTCTGTTTTCACTCTTAGCAGCCATGTGATGTTGTATTCAGATCTTAGTCTTACTGCACCTAAACTTTCTCATACATAAAACAGGAAAAATGACAAATGGCATAGAGGAATTGAAGAATATTATCAGGCTAAAATTTTATTCTAAAGGTAAAATGCATAGCTTTGCACACACTCCAAATTCTTCATAAGAGAATAAAAATGAAAAACAAAACAAAACCCCAACAAACTGTATCTTTCTTATCCTTGAAATTTTTGATTGTTATAATATTAAGAAAGAACGAACATAAATGAAGAGAGAAAAATAGATAAACTAAGTGTTCAACTCAAGAGGTTAGAAAAACAACCCATTATATTCAGAAAAAAAGTTGAATGCAGACATCAATATATCAGGCAATAGAAAAATATTGGACTTGATAAATAAATTCAAAAGCTTTTTAGTGTTTTAAAAATACAAATAAAACTGATGAGCACAGATAAGCTCACTAAAAAGCAAGCATGATCAAATTGCAAAAGGACATTATTTTAAAATAACATTTAAAAGAATAATGTGCATAGTTCATAAAAGATTTTACAATAACTGGATAGGCATTTTTCAAATTAAAGTGTCTTCTCATGCCATCACCAAAACAAACAAACAAACAAACAAACAAACAAACAAACAAACAAACAAACAAACTAAAAACCCCCAAAACCAGAAAAAGAGTAAAAATACAAATAGTGTATATTAAAGTCTTCAAATAAAACATAGATCTGTTCACAAACAGAAAAGCATCTCTGGATGGGGAAGACCATTTTAAATGAAATGCAATGGTGTAAATACAGGACAAAACTAATGGATTCAACCACATATAGATAAGGAACATACTGGGAAAATACTTGCAGCAAGTATAACAGATAGCCATTATTATAGAAATAGGTTTTACAAAAAAAAAAAAACGGTGGTCTCACACCATTATTAAAATAAGGGCAAAACTAATACAAATACAATTATCAGAAAAATTATACATCTAAAAATTTATTTTGTAAGTCATCAAAGAAATACAATTTAAAAACAGTGAAATACTTTTAAAACAGGCAAACTGGCAAAGGTTTATGACAGTTATATTACCCAGTACTGGTGAATGTGTATTGATACAGTCTATTCTGGAAAAAAGTTTACATATCTAGTCATGTCCCTTGGAATCCATCATAGATAAAAGAATATGGACAGAAATTATGCTTACAACTTGTATTTAATAATATATTATTTTATAAATGAAAAAGTAAAAACAATCCACATGTCTGTATTAAAGAGGAACAATTATTAATAAATTATAGTTATGAAATAGCAGGTGAACATTAACATTATTTGCAAGAAAATTAATGGTGTGGAAAGATTCTTCCAATATACTATTGAGCGGAAAACTCAGCTTATAAAACGGCTTCTATGTTATGATCTAAATTGTCCAAAATGACATACGTACATCGAAAAGTATCTGAAAAAAGTACACAAAGACTAGCAGTGCTAATCTGAATTGTGAGTTAAGGACAATTTTTGTATTTTAAAAATGTTCTGACCCAAGATTTCTACAAAGAGAATATATTCCCTTTATGATAGGTAAAATAATTTAATAATATAAATAGTTTCTTATTTCAGGTCTGGGTCCATAATACCTCACTGGTTTTCTTCGTAGATTAAGCATGACAGGCATTCATCAAAATCTGTGACAGAATTACCTTAAGAAAAAAATACCAATAAATCACAGTTTGTACCTACCTCTCTGAATGCATTTGGGAAAGAAGTAATAGGTTCATTCAATAACAAGGCATCTTACGTGTAGAGCACACTTTGCACGGAGGTAGCAGTCAATGATCCATCACTAACGGCTACTTTTCAGGCTCATCCATTTTTATCTAAAGTATAATATTTATTTTTCTTAATAACTTGAAAACAATTGCTGAGAGAGACTTCTTAAATAATGCTGAGATCACAGGCTGGGTTTAGTTTTGCTTGAAAGGGTCACACCATCCTGTGAATGTGAGGTTCAGCATCCCACCTCGGATAATGAATTTCTTTAGTCAGACAGCTTCCAAAATTTAGGCTTCAGAAGAAAGTGATGGGAAAAAACCTAACCATTGGAGGACATCACTTTCCAAGTCAAGTTCTACACATTTGCCAGTCTTTCTTGGTGACCAGATGAAGTATATTCTAAAAGTCAATTGATTTAAAACCTTGAAAATAGCAGACTATGTTATAACAGGAAAGTCAGGGATTGTAGGCACCATAAAATCAGCTACAAATGAAAGTGGCCTTGGAATAGCAGGTCCCTGAACTTAGCTCTTTTAAGCCCTTTTCTTAATAANTAAACATATTCATAGTCAGTTGTTGGTTCTCCCAAGGGCCATCTCCTCTAGAGAAGAGGTGGCAATTAGAAGTGCACTTTCTTCTCAAGGGGTCTTGTGCCTAGAAGGATTCTCTGATGTAGTGGGCTATGCACAAGGGAGTCCATTATGCTGGGGCTTGGAACACTAAGGCTGGCTTCTCAATGAAGCATTTATGGGATCATCTGGGAGAGGTGTCCTTTCCATGGACCTCATGATGTACCTTGCCCTCGTGTAACAGGGACCACTCATCTTAACCTTTACTGTCTTTGTGCTTTAGGAATAAATTAAGATGCAGGGAATAAGGGAATCTGAGGCCCAGGGAAAAATGAAAATCAATAATGGCAAAACTTATTTTAATACTATCTTAAAGTTTAACTGACCTGTAGGTGTATTCCTCATCAAGTGAATGGAAATAGACTTTGCATTAAACTTAACTGGTTGATAGTACAGACTTGATTTATTGACCATCAGTATCAATGATGTAAGTTCCTTTTTCCTTCCTTCCCTTTTTTTTTTTTGAGGTAAAGCATTTCTTCCTGGAGTTTTTATCACCTGCATCACACAGATGGAGAATAAAAGGAATGTGACTGAATTTATTTTAATAGGCCTTACACAGAACCCCCAAATGCAGAAAGTGGTGTTTCCGGTATTTTTGGTTATGTACATGGTAACACTCTTGGGCAACCTGCTCATCGTGGTTACCATCACCACCAGCCGGGCTCTGATCGCCCCCATGTACTTCTTCCTGACCCAGCTTTCCCTGATAGACATCATTTATTCTTCTTCTTCAGCTCCTAAGCTGATTGTGGACTCTCTTCATGAGAAGAAAATTATCTCCTTCAATGGATGTATGGCTCAAGTGTATGCAGAACATATTTTTGGTGCTACTGAGATCATCCTGCTGACAGTGATGGCGTATGACCGCTATGTGGCCATCTGCAAACCCCTTCACTACACGACCATCATGAGCCACAGGCTGTGCATTGTCCTGCTGGGAGTGGCCTGGGCTGGAGGATTTCTCCATGCAACCATTCAGATCCTCTTCATAGNTCTGTGGTCTTCCTGAGTCTGTCCTTACCAATGTTTTCACCTGTGGTTTTAGGGAAATATTTAAATAGTACTCAAGTGCAAGGAGTTAAGGAGGCTCTGACTTCTCAACTCCCAGGGGATTAGTATTAGCAGCTTCAACCAAGATGGCGGCCAAACCAATTTGTTCTTTCTCTCTTGTGGCCATGGCATATGTGACCAAGAGGGTAGGGGAGAGACTGCTGGGATGGCTTAGCAGCCTCTCTATGACCGTGGTTAGGAGGTGATCCTGGAAACTGAGCCCGAAAGCACACAATGTTCTAGTCATGGGAATATGGGTGCATGAGGCAGTCAGAGTCTATATAATAGTCTTAATAATACCTGTCTCAACAAATAAAAACAAAACCTCATAGACACAGACAATAGTTTAGTGGTTGCCAGAGGGTAAGGGGGGAGGAGAGTGGTAGATGAGGGTAAACAGGATCAAATATATGGTGATGGAAGGAGAACTGACTCTGGGTGGTGAACACACAGTGTGATATATAGATGATGTATTACAGAATTGTACACTTGAAACCTATGTAACTTTACTAACCATTGCCACCCCCGTAAATTTTAATTAAAAAAATAATAGAAAAGGATACCTGTCACACAGAATTATAGGGAGTATTCAGCAAGATCACATGTGTAAACCTCTAAGTCAGTGCCAAACTGGTATTCTACTGTTAATACTCTGAGGATAGACACACGTAGACTAGAGAATCTGCTCTTTAATGGTGAAAACCTGAATTATGCTTATGGGTAAGTTTTGCTGGCTTTTCTATTTGCTAAACTATGTGATTGGGGCAAATTACTCAGCCTCTTTCTACCTGTATTCCCATATCAGTAAAAGGGGGCTAAAGTGGCACCTATCACAGGATTGCTGCAGGGGTTCTATGAGATAAAGAGTATGAAGTGCTTAGATTGGTGCCTGGCATAGAATAAAGGCTCACCCTTTGTTGTTACTTTTTGTGATAGGAAATCAGAGCTCATGGTGCAACCAATTCAGGGTTTTGGCAAGAATGGTCAACTCATATACGAGTATGTATAGCTTATCTTCTTAACTTTTATGGTTGGTAGAATCTGGGAAAATACAGAAATTAGGAGAGAAGAAAGACCAAGTATTAAAGTATTAAATACTGATTCGCAAGTCATTATAATCCTGAAATCTTTCTATGAGTGTTTGATGTTCTTTTTTACTAAAACATCTGACAGTGAAGTTGATAGTCCTTGAAAAGTTTCTAGGAGATAAAAGAAACAGGATATAATGAGAACTAACAAATAATGAGCACTCTGTATTTATGTCACTTTGCAAAGTGT